GCCATGGAGGCAGACATCTTTGCGCTTCGGCAGCGCAGAGCCAACAAACTAGCGATTGCGAGATCGCCCATTACGCTCGAAAGTAACTACGGCAAGTTGAGAGAGATGAACTGAGACGGTACTGAACAATAGATACTAAATACTACTATAGATACTAATAAATACAGGGTGTTGCTGCAGTCTGCAGTCTGGACGTTAGATGTAGCTGAAAATTACACACTGTAGCTTTAATAGCTGACATGTAACGTAAAAAACAACCTGCCAGATAGCAACATATTCTTCTAGATACAGTTAATTTAAAGAAGTCTTGATCCCCTGTTTGAATGCCAGGTTCTTGTCAGGTAAAAAAATTACATTAAGATAACTGATTTCACATCTTTTTCCACCTCTTATGTCACCCATAACCTTTCGGCTACAAAAAATAAACTGTAATCTGGGATGTTAGGTAAAAATAGAAAACGGAGACAGTGTGGATGTAAAAAGTGTGCATACCCTTATATTACTGGGGATGTATCTGTGTTCAGATTAAAACACATGTTGATTTGAGTCAGCACATGCCTGCCACCAATTAGTCATTCTGATCAACCCAAAATACATTTCAGTTGTTCTAGTAGCTTTATCCCAACATTTTTTTAGACACGCTGGTGAACAGCATCAGTCATCCAGGTCATAGTTGTTCCAAAAATGTTAAAGAACAATCCGAAGGAATTTGGTTTTTTCTCCAAGTTTGAAGACGTTTTGCTTCCCATACAGAGAGCTTTTTCAATTAAAAATGTCAGAAATGGCGCCGAGTTTGAGGGTTTATACAGGAGCCCAACAAAGCCTTCACTGGAAAAAAAAAAATTCTTAAATTAAGTGTATTTACCCTTAATTTGAGGAGGTAAATGAAATAGTTTGCCACTGGAATGAGAATCTTCACTTTTCACATAATATAATTAGATAATATGCACTTGAAATAAGACAATGCAATTGTGTTTTCTTATTTTGAGTGTAAATTGTCTTATTTTATTGGCAAAATGTCTCTTTTACCTCCTCAATCCAAAAACTACGGAGCCCCTCTGATGACATGGTCAAAAAA